CTGATGGCCATTGATCAACAATAACAACATAATCCGTAACAATTGTTCCAGCACATATCACACCTCCTTCGTCCATTTTAAATGTGGTTATATATAATGACTACACACGTGATTTATCAAAAAAAAAGATAAGAAAAGAAGAAAAAATAACGTAAGAGTTGTAGTATAGATTTCTATTTATAAATATTTATAAGGTAAAAAGATATGCTTTTATTTTAATATTATAAGTGATTTTTTTTAATTTGTTGAATTAAAATTCTATTTACTATCACGTTCAGCCTTAAAATAATACTATTTCTGTATATGAATGCTTGATTAATTATTATAATACTAATTTTTTTGCTTATAAATAAACTATATTTAACATAAAAGAAGACTTAGTTCGACATGAATATATAAGAATTTAAATAATAGTTATATCTATCATACTAATACGTTGAAGATAAGAAAAAAACAAAAGAAAGAATAATGCGTTTATTTCTTTCCTCTAGAATTTACATTTACAGCATGGGGGTTAAAATGAAATGTAAAAGAGAAAACATTATCGAACGAGATTATCTCGTACCTAAACAAAAGAAAATTTTATCATACATCAAATGACGTTTTAAAACATAATAATAAATAGAGAATCATTTTGTATGCTACATGTATATATGCTATTACACATTTTTTTGAAATGTTTACATCAATTATTGTGTGAAGATATTCTTCTTGACTGATAATTTATTAAATACATGATACTCGCATAACCCATCAAATAAACTTTAATCAATAATATTATTGAGAAATTCAATCATCATGCATGCTTTTATATGACAATAGAACATAATACATACAATCTATTTGTATTCTACGACGCGCATACTTTTAACATATACAAAAGTGAACATAAATACATCTTTCAATTACGACAAATAAGTCAAAAAAAATCTCTGTACAATACAAAAGAAGAAAAGTTCTTGGATTGATAAAAGGCGTTACGACGAACTGAATGACAACATCACCGTAAAAATAAAGATTTGAGAAGAAGAATAAAAGAAGAATAAGTACAACGGTGAAATAAAGAAGACGAAAAAAAAATAATATGAAGAATACGATTTATATATGAGACCGAAATAAAAAATAAATCGAATGTTTATTTTTTTATTTAAACCAATGCTCGTTTATCGTTCGGTGCGCTTATATCTTCACTTTCAACGACAACATATGCTGTACCATCAGGGGCATGTACAGCATGATATTGATCTTCGTCTGTTGGTGCTTGATGATATGGTGTATCGAATATAGGCGATTTCGACTAAAAAATAAATTATTATTATTTTATATAACAAAATAAAAATTTCAATTTACTTCTGAACGATGTGGATATTGAATACGACGACGGAATATCTAATTAATATTTAGAATTAGCATAGAAGTAAAAGAAAACAATATAAAACTTACGAAAACAAATATTCCAGCAAAAATTGCTGCAACAAATCCAATTAAAACAGCAATTGTATAAAGTATTCTATAAAGATTCTTTTCGACAAAACGACTCCATTTTGAATCGTTTGGTTTAATTGTAGGTTTTACAACTCTACTTGCAACCGATGGTAAAAGTTTAAGAAATTCGTTTGAAGTTAACTAAAAATCAACAGTATAGAATTCTTTATCTTTAATTCAAACACATACATCGTTATCAATTTGATCCATTTTCTTTTGAAAATCATCCATATTTTCAACATAATACGGCATTACTTGAAATGATGTTAAACCACTATTTTCCACTGCTGATACGATTATTTGTGTTGGTTCCAAATCATATTTAACGGCAATATTATTAATTAAACCGCTGAAAAGAAAAAAAAGCAATGATACATATTTTCAATATTTATTTTATCTTACCTTTTAAATAAGCTAACAAACTTTGGATCATTAAAAAATTTCGTATCAATATCAAAATCATAAATAAACCAGTTAACTTTATCGGCACTAACCAATTCACATAGATTTAAATTTAGATTACATACACGATTGCCCGTGCATGGAATTCTCTATAATCAAATATATTCATATTAAAAAACTCATTTGTCGTTGTTTTTTTCTTCTTACCTCACTACATTGAAGATTTTCTGAAACAGGTGTCCAATCACATTCACATACATCACAACCATCACTATTCTTTTTAAAACCATACATACAAAACATTCGACATGTATGTAATGGACAATTATTACATGAACATAATTCGCAACCAGATAAATCACGTTCATAACCATATTTACAAACAGCATCGCATTTTGTCATTGGTGGACAATTATCTTTATCAATTATATTCTTGATATCATCATCTTTACATTTGCATGTTGGACAATTATTTTCATCTAATTCGATACCATTTGTACAACTATTTGTACAAATGAATGATGGACAATAGCATTGACATGTTTGACAACCTTGATAAATAAATATATTTTTATATAAGACAAACGAAAAAGAAAAGGAAGGAAATTTTATATAGTATTTTTCATTAACTTACCACTATAATCTTTTCGATAACCATTGGAACATGTTTTTTGACAATTTAATTTTGGACATGGTTGAGGATCATCATTACATTGACAAACTTCACATCCATTTTCATCTCGACGAAAACCATTAACACAAAACATACGACACATGACACCTGAACATTCAACACGAGGTTTTGCTGTACATTCACATGTTCGACAGCCTTTGTCATCGACTTTATAACTATTGTCTGCACAACTTGCTTTACATTTACGTAATGGACAATTATTTGCAGACTGGTCATTCGGTTTTATAGCTGTATCGGAAGCACATGCACATGTTGGACATCCTTTTGTATCAAGTAAATAATTTCCGTTTGTACATCGAAGAGTACAAGTGGTAGCCAAATTGTTCGGGCATTCTTGAGTTGGTGCCGGTGGTCCATCAGCCTCAGGAACTAAAGAAGAAATCGAATAAATGAATTTTAAATGATATAAAAAACAGAAGCATTTTATCTGAGTATCAAACCTATTGCAGATTGTAAAAGTGCAGAAACTTGATGAGTATTATAAACGAGTAATAAACTCGTTAGGATAAGACTGAGTAATTTAATCATTCGAGAATATCAAATGGTCTTTTAGCAATCAACGAAGAAATTAATAACGTCTCCTTGTAGAAAAAAGAATCTTGTTATTGTTGACGATAAGTAAGAAATGACGACTCAATCGTTTGTGTCAGCGCTCACGCAAATCGAAGAATACGAAGTACAAAAAAAAAAAGAAATATGCGACGGACGGGTCGGTCGCTTTTTTTTCTATTTTTTTTTTTTTGTTCGCTCTTTTTTCTCCTCCATCATCGCTCCAATATGTAATATAATGTTCACCCTTGCTTCTTCTTTTTTTTTCTTTCGCGAAGCAGAAATATTACAGGAAGAAAAATGTCGTGCTTACTTGTCCCATATTATCCAATAAAGAAAAAGTAATATAAATATACGTAGAAAATACTGCGTACTCATAACTATTTGCTGGTTGTTTTCAAAAGCCATCATGCGAAACTTATTATTTCCTTAATTACTCTCTCTATTATCATATTATTTTATTTACAACTGACGAAATATATGTACTTTTTTTTTTCTCTCTATATTACTATTAGACGGCTTTTTTTCTCATTAATCCGTCATCGGACGGTTTTTTCCTTCTTCTTCTTTCCAACTAATCATAATAATGATGATGATGATGTAAAAAAGGAAAAAGTTGATGTGCTAAATAAATGGAAATGACGGTTAAATCTATTTATTCATCGACATAGTTAACAGGAAGTTTTCAAGAAAATAACGTGATGAAATATACCTGCTTGACACATAGGCACATTACGCGCATCATTGAGACATCGAAACCCTGGAGGACAATGAACATCATCCTAATTGAAAATAATTAGCAAAATAAAAATAATGATATATTGTAAAAAATATACTTGACAAGAAGACGTATATTCAGTTGGTTTTGATTTTGTAGTTGCACATTGACATAATAGACAACCATCAGAGGATTTTGCATAACCAATATCTGTTGGACATTTTAAACCACAAGAAAATGGTGGACATTGATCACTACATTCACATATATCACATCCGAATAAATCTTTTAAATATCCGGATGGACAATTTTTACTGCAATGATCCATTGATGGACATGATTGACATTCACATAAAAGACATCCATTAGAATCAGTTCTATAACCAAGTCGACAATTAAGTGTACAGGTAAACGATGATGGACAAACAGAAACAGTTTCTAAAGAAGAAAAAATCAATAAATTGAAGTTTTCTATTTTTAACGTTGATCGCGTAAAAAAATCGATTATTTTCCTTTTCAATAACTACTATTCAAGTATTTTGATGATTGAAGAATATCATGATGTTATTCAAGGTTATTTATTTTTCTTCGTATTTAAATAGAAATCGAAATATTTGAAATGAAGAATTCTTTTTTTTATCAAATATGCTTTACTATTTTGCCTGATAAATTTAAAGAAATCATTAATAATATTAATTATTCTTTTTTTTCTGCTTGAGTGAATAATCAAATATTGATTAGTTCGAGGTAGAGTTTGATTTTCTCGTAGATAAAAGAAAATGTTTAATGCTGATTCGAGTAACTTCGTACAAAGAATAATCGAATTATGGCATAAATTTAACGTTTACAGTCAAAGAAATTATTCTAAGATTTAAATCAATTTCATAAACTTACTTATCATAGGTGCACGACAAACACGTTGTCCACATGATGCTTCACAGCATTTATGATCACCTGGACAATCCGTATCAAAACGACAATCAGATTGAATGATTTTTGTTGGATCACATTTATCAATAGTTTCAACAATTTTTGGACAAATACCTAATTTGCGAATTGTATCCGAACCTTGAATAATTGAATCTATTGGTTCAGCATAATCATCAAGATATTCATCTTCTTCACCGAATTCATTTTTATCTGATGTTTCATCTTCATCATATTCATAATAATCATCATAAGATAATTCATCGGATGTTTTATTATTGTTGTTGTTTGATTTAAATATCGTTGACGTAGTTGAAGCATCATGATTGTCAATTAAAAGTTGTGGATTACCTGATTTAGCTAATAAACGTGGTGCTAATGGTAATTGTTGTTGTGAAATTGATGAAGCGAGTAAAGTTTTAGAAACTGTTTTTTGATTTAAATCATCTTTTAAAGCACAATAATAACATTTCGATACATCATCTTGATTACTATCATCACATTTTGGATTTTTACGACAAATCTCAGTCAATGAATTGCATTTAGGAGCCTTGAAAACCAATAAATAATTATAGAACAAATCGTTTTTATTTTATGACATATTTTTATTTACCTGACATCGTTCATTTAAATTAATATTTGACTTTGCTACATCCGCATCGATTAAAACAAGTAAAACAAATATACCAAGTGATGTTTTAACCATAAACTTCATATCGTATTTATATTCGTTTAAGTAATACTACAAATCATAAATCCGTAAAAATATAAAGGTAATATTTTCTTTCATCCTTTAACCCTCACTATGCATTACTGTTCACCTTAAAATTCGACTAAAAAAAAAAGGTATATATATATATATATATACATACATATATATTCCTCTTTTTTTTCTTGCTATTCTCCTCTTCTCGTACGATTTTCAAGTAGCTTGTCAATATAATACAATCTATCACTGGATTTTTTACATGAACATATATGTATATACTCTATCGATATATATATATATCGATTAGGTATGCAATACCTGTCTGTATACATCATGTACATATAGAATAAATGATAAAGATGGATCGAATACGTCTAAAGCTAGAAAAAGGAAAGAAAATGAATAATGAGAAAGACTCTCGTATTTTACATGGTCCACTAAATATTTTTCCTTGTCAATGATAATGATGAATACAACATATAACAAGTCATTGCACATAACATATTTATATTATAAATATACGAGGCGTAGCATAGCCGTGAGAGAACCGAACTACTTTCGTGTATATTATGTATAGATCATCATTAGATTCGGTATAGCTTTTTTGCGTGTTTTATGGCATTGAGAAAAGAAATAAAAGAAAATAGCGAAATAGACATAATAATGATCACGATCGAGAATTTATGCATTGATGATTAGCAGACATATCTTCTACTATCTAAACGTTATAGACATATGTACATATACTCGTAGGATCTAATTGATGACATCAGCATCGGCACACTCTATATGTGATTAATTCACTTGTAGAGATTCTATGCTATGTCCTATCATTGTTTCTTTTTATATTTATCTCTGTTAGAAAAACATATATATATATATATATATATACACAAGTAGCACTTCACTTCTACATACCGTTAGTCTTTTATATAAGGCATATGTCCACAAATTGAACTACTAGTTTATAGTATATATTTTAATAAACATTTGAGTTGTTAAAATAACAATATATACACGCCTATTTAGTAATGATGCTTATATATGTATCGCGCAATACTCTTGAAAATGAAATAGTGAATTCTAAAGAGAATATAATTGTTACATGTATATTATATTGGTAATGATTTTTTTCTTCTTCTCGTATACAAAGAAAGAACTTATTGCAAGGTAAAAATGTATTCTAGTGTCACTTTTCTTATCATTGAAGACGTTGCTATTTGTATCGGGTCGTTATTAGCCTAGGGATATGTATTCTTATTATATACTATCTTTTAGAATTCGTCAAGGCCATCGAAGCGTATAAGGTTTTTGTTGTATGTTAACGTCAAACGATGTAATTTTTTGACCTTTTACTATAAAAGAATAAAAAGAAAGATAGAGAAAAGATGATTGTATGTGAACTTCATTGTATTATCTTAATCTTTGTCTTTTTCCTTTTATCAATTTGATTTTTAGAGTGCAAATGACAAATAAAAAACAAATATTACTGATAATAGATAATAAAAAATTATTAAAATTACATCATCATCATCATCGTTATCATCTTACCACTAGATCGTTTTCTATACTTTCAATCTCGAACTATTCTTCAAAATGAAGATGACCCATAGGCAAAGATCGGACATGAAACAGGCATTTACTTAGCACTCTTTCTTTCCATTTAATACTGTTGACGCCTCTTATTTTTATGATGGCACTCAAGTTGTATATATTCCCCTATAGTCAACTGATATATGTGCAAATAGTTTTACGATCGGATGTGCTTATACATACATATATA